CCCCCCCCCCCCCTCCCTCCACAACAAACCAACAAACCCCATATAAATCACACCATAAACCACAGGGTCCAGAGGAGATGTGTTTGTCGTTAGAACATCAAAACCCGTCGAAAACCTCTGAAAAATGGGTCATTTTGATCGCGTTACAGTTTCGTTACAGATTCTATTGACCGCAAACCAAGAGACTGAGGGCTCGCAAGATCGGCTTACAGTATAAAATACGGAAAGGGAGGAAAAAAATTGCGGGCCGATTTTCGAATCCCTGAAACTCAAATGGAATTAAATGAAATCGCCTGATTTTACTAACCTGATCTATAATTCTTATGTATTTGCCAAATACTGTAGGAAAACGGCATAAAAAAGCGTTCAAATTCATTTTCGGCGACCGAAATTTACGGCTTCGAGATAGCGCTTTCGTTCGCTGTGCACCGCAACAGATGGTGACGGAAATGACGTAGAAAAGTAAATGTACTCAAGATCGGAGCAATAAAAGGGGATGGTAAGCCTACAGGACTGTTGCCTCATACCAAAATGCTGCTCGTTCCAATAAAGTTTCTTTTCTCTGCTGGGTAGATTATGCTCTGGAAGGTTCTACATTTTCACTGAGCAAATCTGATTCTAGCCGCATGTTTCACACTGAGAGGTCACGACACACATATCGATTTACTGTGGTTATTGTTTCTGGTCGGCAGGATTTGCCCTCTGATGCAAGCGCATTTTCTTTGAGTTCTTTTGAAGCGTGAAGCTTTTTATGACGGCTGAATAAGGGTTCCAATTTTCTCCAAAGTTCCTTCTGGATCTGAATAACTAAGCGATTTTCTTTAGTCCGTGAAGGTACTGTTTTTCTGCAATGCTGTATCACGCTGGGCCTTGTTGGTTAGTTTTGTTTGGAGAATGTTAAATTATTACGGATAGTGATTTACAGGTCGTGTGTACTCTTGCAATAAAACGTGACACTGAGTAGAGCGGACGCACAAGGCAACTGTAATATCATCACGACTGCGCCATTCTTCGGTGGTCCCAACAGTGTTACCTCTTGCGTCTTTGGCTGTGCGTTTTGCGACTACTGGGAAGCCTTTGCACAAGCGAAACCTCCTTAAGACATCGAAGACTGTTGACATGTACAACAAATGTTCAGTCTTGAAAGATCTTCACTTCAATTAAAACTCTGTTGCCTCCGCATAGATCTCTGAGATCTTTAAAACTCCCTCCGCAGCTGATGTTTTGATTCTCGAGTTGCTATTAAGTTTCCGGTCTCATTCACTTCCGTCACCGAGTGATGCGGTTCACAGCGAATGATAAAACACATTGATCCAAAAAAGCTTTCGCAAAGACATGTACATAAATTCTCATATCCCGGGAAAACCACTGCTGAAATAGCTGAAGCTGTTGACAACATCGCTGTTGCATCCGCGGATCCTTCTCACGTCATCATCCATACTGGCACCAACAATCTTCCGTCGGAGTCTGCCGATTCATGTGTCGCCGATATCAAGAGCCTTGTATTGAAGGTGAAGAGCAAGTTTCCTAACTCAAGCATTGGTCTCTCGGGTATAGTCTACAGAGAAGATATCAACGTCGATGCTAAACGCATTGAAGTTAATGAGAGGGTCAAGCTCACAGCAGTAGATAATAACTTTACTTATATTGATAATTCGGTTATTGACGCCTCAGCATTAAATGGTAGTAGACTTCATCTGAATGCCAAAGGTTCGTCATTGCTGGCCGTGCAATTTATTAAGTTTTTAAGATCTGGTTCTGGCAAGTATAATCAGTCTCTTAAGGGTTTTCAGTCCTCAGCTATCCAACAACTGGTAAAGCTTCTGATGGAACTGGGAAACCTTCCCTCTCCAGCTCGCAACAGGAGACGCCCACGCTAGCTTCTCAACCGAGTGACGTATCATCAGGTATTCCTAATCAAAACGTTGATTCATTTGAAAGTACAATTCTCTCTGATTTTCTTCCTTCTGGTCGTGGTTTTAAAATTGCAGGTT